TGTAGCTCTCGCCTGATCTCCGGATCGGGCCCCTTCCCCCAGGGGTTCGAACATCCAGTCTTCGAGCTCTTGTCGGTATGGCCCCGAAGAGGTCGTCCTCTCCGGTTCAGGATATAGTCCTTTATCAAACAGACTCTCTCGAAGTCCGCTTCCTCGGCGGGAGTAAATCTCCCTGGTGCCCTTCGCATTATACAGAGTCCAGTCATCCTGGGCCGTTGTCCTCCGTGGGCCCCAGTGCGAAGGGGTTGAAGGCGGCCAGGCCAAATACGAAGGCAGACGGGGAATCGTTCCCCCCACCGCGCCCGACGTAGGCACCGTAGTCATGCCGGTGGTGACCAACTGCGTGGAGGTTGTTGGGACCGATCCCGTGTCCCCCTCCGTTGTAGGTAGTTTTCCCTCAGTCCCGCTCATGACTCTGTCAGACTCGGGACGATAGGAAAATGATGAGATTCCTAACAATATGTTAGATCCCCAAGCATCGAGAATAAATCCACGTTTCAGGAAAGCAAAATTTATTTCAAAGCTTTGGAAAGATACTCAAACAAGTCCTTTGTTAGGAATGGGTACAAACAGCCAGGGCAAGCATAATAAAGGGATTTGAACAAGGTACCGAACCAATGGATCACTTTCCCGCTGGCGGGTAAAAGGAAACGGTTGCGCGCTCAATCCCTGGGAACACTGCTATCTCCAGACATAATATAGGTGCAGTTCCCAGGCTCTAAAGGCAACAAGCTAGCATTCAAGCTCACCTCCTACACCACGTCCTCCAGATGTTTTATTTAAGCATTACAGCAGAATAAAATACAGGCTAGCAGGCAGAGGGGGGGAGGAATAAACTGTACAGCCGTACAAGTAACACAGAACACAATGGCAGCTTGCTGACACTGTGAATGGTTGACACATTTTGCCTGTCATGATGATGGGCATTTGTTTGTTGCCAATACATTGGTGGGAAGTGGGAAGTGTTATTCAATCTTAATTGCTTAAACGTTTTAACCAACAATATTTATTCAGTATGCAGAAAACAGGCCCCGGAGAAAGAATTCTTTGCCTTCTGCGTAGAGATTTCTCACATCAATTTTTGGGAGAGTTTGAGGATGTTAACACAACTTTGGGTATGGGTGACTCAGAAGACATGGATTGAGAACACACGAAAGGAAGAATTTCTCCACATAAAGTAAAATTAATGTACGGAATTCACTGCTGAAGGCAGGGGTGTCAAACATAAGGCCCGGGGGCCGGATCCGGCCCATCCAGGGCTCTTACGCGGCCTGCGAACAGCTGATGCAAGGGAGGGAGTGCTGGGGGTGGGGAGAGGGCAGAGCCACTCCATTATGGCTTTAGCATAGCAGAACAACCTCGCCTGCAGCAGTCAAGCATCGTGGGGGCACCTGCCCAGCGCTGCACTGCTGCCTGGGTTTTCCTCTGCACCCCCTCCCACCCCAGGTGGGAGTGAGAACACACCAACTCGGAGCTTACCAGCTGCTGTCCTTTGTACAGTTTCTATCTCCAGTACCTGGCATTACGTCCTTTGTACAGTTTCTATCTCCAGTACCTGGCATTACGTCCTTTGTACAGTTTCTATCTCCAGTACCTGGCATTACGTCCTTTGTACAGTTTCTATCTCCAGTACCTGGCATTACGTCCTTTGTACAGTTTCTATCTCCAGTACCTGGCATTACGTCCTTTGTACAGTTTCTATCTCCAGTACCTGGCATTACGTTTTATGGCACACGTGGCCTGGCCCAACAAAGAGACATTTATGTCAGATTCGGGCCCTCGTAACAAATGAGTGACACCTCTGGTCCAATGCTCCCTCTAAGCTGTGGAGTCTCGTGAGCAAAAATTCTGCTTTGTGACCGACTGGCGTTAAAGTGGTGAGCGAGCGATTTGGCCACTGCATAATTTGGTTTGCCATGGAGCCCTCCTTCCTGAGCCAAGACAGAAATGTGTGAGCCTGAGGCTAAAAAACTGAGCTAGCTCACAGTAACTCAGCTTAGAGGGAACACTGCGCTGGTCTAAGGTGTGTGAAGACTGTACTAGATCAGATGGCTTTAAGAGCAATCTGTACAAATCTGTGGAGGCTACTTTTAGCCATTTGGTGTTGGAACATTGTGTTGGAGGAGAGTTTTAGGGATACCTTGGACCACAAAAAGACAACTAAATGGGTTCTAGATCAAATCAAGACTGAACTCTCTCTAGAAATTAAAATGACTACATTGAGGCAACTGTACTCTGGTCACGTTATGAGAAGACAGGACTCGCTGGAAAAGACAATCATGCTAGGAAAATTTGAAGGCAGCAGGAAAGAGGAAGACCTAACAGGAGATGGATTGATTCAATGAAGAAAGCCACAGCCTTCAGTTTGCAAGACCTGAGCAAGGCTGTTAATGATAGGATGTTTTGGAGATCTACAATGTGACTTGGCGGTGCATAAGACACACACTCTTTTAGCCATGATGCTTCAATGAAACTTCTGCACTCAGAGGGACAATTCCCCAGGTTGATTTTATCAGGGCTCTTTTTGTAGAAAAAGCCCAGCAGGAACTCATTAGCATATTAGGCCACACCCTGACAGCACCACTCATTAGCACATTAGGCCACACCCCCATGTTACCAGAAGTGTGGACATCCAGCCACACCTACCTTTTGCTTGTTATTCTGTTGACCTTGTTTGTTGTCAAAACCCAGGGCCTTTTCTTGTAGCAGGGACTCCTTTGCATGTTAGGCCACAAACCCCTAACGTAGCCAATCCTAATGAGTTTCTGCTGTTGGGTGTGGCCTATTATGCTAATGAGTTCCTGCTGGGCGTGGCCAACTTGGAAGCCAGCCGGAACTCCGTTCCTGTGCGTTCCTGCCCAAAAATAGCCCTGGATTTTATTAATGTTGGTGTTTTCTTTATATTTCCTTTCTAGGCTAATTGGACATTTGGTTTTGTTGACAACTTGAAGACTTATTCGGAGGCTTGGCTTCGGATGACGGAACTCGTTAAACACAGCGAAAACTTCCTGATGATCAGCCAACTGCAGGTTAGTGAATTTGGAAGAGCTGTACTATGTGAAGAAAACAGACTGACCCTTTTTAAGATTCCTGAATGATCATTTGAGAGCTCTTCTTTGTATTTTTTCCTTCCAGAAAAAAATTGGTAGCTACTTAAGGAACATTTAATAGCAATGATTTAAGGATGTAAGAGCCACATAGAGTAAACGTCAGATGTTTGAGAGCCACAAGACATGAACAAATATAACCCACATGTTGGGTGTAGTGGTTAAGTGTGCGGACTCTAATCTAGGAGAACCAGCTTTGATTCCCCACTCCTCCACGTGCACCTTGCTGGGTGACCTTGGGCAAGCCATAGTTCTGATGAGAGCTGTTCTTGAAAAAAGAGCAGTTTCTGTCAGAGCTCTCTCAGCCCCACCTACCTCACAGGGTGTCTGTTGTGGGGAGGGGAAGGGAAAGTAGTTTGTAAGCTGCTCTGAGACACCTTTGGATAGTGAAGGGCGGGGTAGAAATCCAATCTTTTCTTCTTTATTGAAAAATATGCAAATTTGCTTTTTTAACATTAAATGCGACTGCCAAAAATAAAAACAAAAGGGGTAAAAACAGATATTGATAATGATATTTAACTTTAGATGAGGAGGGAGGAGAGGGAGGGAGAGAGAAAGAAAGCAAATAGATGGGGGGAAGGAGAGGTGAAAAGAAAACAACTTTAACTTTAAATGGATCTTCCAAGACCCCCATGCCCTTGGCTTGGAGAAGGGATTTAAAGAGACAAACGCCTTCTACAACCGGCCGGTGGGGGGGGGCTTTGAGAATGCATTTAAAGTTAAAGTTGCTTTCTATCTTTGCCCCCCCCCTTAACTCAAGCTTACCCAGGGAGGGGAACACTGTCTGGGGAAGGGAAAACCAATCGGGGAGGCATGCCTCCCCTTTGCTTCCCCAGCCACCCTGTCGAGAGCCACGCAATATGTGTGAAAGAAGAAGAAGAAGAAGAGAAGAGATTGGATTTATACCCCGCCCTTCACTTGGAGTCTCAGAGCGGCTTACAAACTCCTTTCCCTTCCCCTCCCCACAACAGACACCCTGTGAGGTGGGTGGGGCTCAGAGAACTCTGACACAAACTGTTCTTTTTCAAGGACAGCTGTGCCAGAACTATAGCTTGCCCAAGGTCATCCAGCAGCTGCAAGTGGAGGAGTGGGGAATCAAACCCGTTTCTCCCAGATTAGAGTCTGCACACTTAACCACTACACCAACTGGCTCCCGAGCCACAGTTTGGCCACCCCTGCTCTAGCCATAGTGGACTTTGTACTGGCTTTCTGGAATTCTTTCAAATGTCATGCTGACTCTGCAGTATGATCACCCACCACTTCTAACTATACAGCGTTTTTGATGTTCTGCCATCACACAGTAAGCAGCGGGCCAGTCCCATCTGATCTGTGTCATCCACTGAGGTTATTATGGCTCTTCAGGATGGTGTCTTTAAAGTGTCGAGGGACAAGGGCCGGCGTCAGCATACCCTGAGATGGGGCAGCAGCCAGGGCCCAGGGCTTCTGCTGTCTACAAAATTTTAAAAATTATGCATGGGATAGAGAAGGCAGAGAAAGAAGTACTTTTCTCCATTTCTCACAATACAAGAACTGGTAGGCACTCAATGAAACTAATAAGCAGTAGGCTTAGGACAGATAAAAGAAAGTACTTCTTCACCCAAAGAGCAATTAATATGTGGAATTCACTGCTGTAGGAAGTGATGGCGACTACAAGCATGGATGGCTTCAAGAGGGAATTAGATAAACATATGGAGCAGAGGCTCACCAATGGCTATTAGCTACAAGGTATAGATGGAACACTATGACCCTTTGCGGTTCTATTCTGTTTTAGTAACTGGTTGCTAATGGATTTTTCCTGTCATTTCAGACAGACCTGTTTTAGTAACTAGCTGCTAGCAGAATGTATTTAACGGTTCATACAAACCCACTTGCGTTGGGTTAGCAAAGCATGGTTGAGCCACTTTTGAGGGAAACTGCTTTTTTCTATTCCAGCCCCTTCATTGTGCTTCTGAATTGCTGTGGTGTGCTGTTTAAAATATCCATAGCATTTCCTACAATGCCACTTCCCCCCGCCCTTTTTCACTGTGCAGTCTTCCTCAGACTTTAAAAAAAATGTTCTAAGGTGAACACTATAGCGCTAAATTGCTGTAGCACTTCAATGCTATAGTGGCACCATTGAGATGCATTGACTCCACTAATGCATTTCAATGATGCCGCTATAGCACTGAAGTGCTATAGCAGTTTAGCGCTATAGCGCTCACCTTAGAATGTAAAAAAAAAGGTCTGAGAAAGATTGCGCAGTGAAAAGGGGCGGGGGAAAAGCAGCACTGTTTGAAATTACCATAGTGCTTCAGCGACAGCTCATTAACGGAAGGGAATTTGATGTAGGAAACCCCTGTCCCTGTATCGCTTTACTCAAAATTGAGCCAGCAACAAATAACATCCGGTTTAAAATGGTAATGTGAAAAGGGTCTATGTGTGGGGCAGTGATGCTCTGTATTCTTGGTGCTTGGAGGGGCAACAGTGGGAAGGCTTTTGGAGTTCTGGCCCTGCTGGGGGATCTCCTGATGGCCCCTGGGTTTTGGCCACTGTGTGACACAGAATGTTGGACTGGATGGTCCACTGGCCTGATCCAACATGGCTTCTCTTATGCTGTTATGTTCTTGCTGCTGTCGACCTCCCCTGACTTATTTGCTAGTGCTCCACTGTGGCCCCCGCTACATGCACTGCCCACTGCTACTGGAGAAAGAGCTGCAGGCAGTGGTGAGCATAAGCAGTGAGAGAGCTCACAAGCAGTCAAGTGAAGAACATACAGGCAGGTGGGAGGCATCTGGGTAGTTGGGAGGGAAGAGCAGCATGTATGGGGGCCTGGTAGTGGGTAGAAGAGGGGAAGGGGCCTGGGAACTCTGCTCAGAGCCCCTCAAAACAGAACCATCCCTGTGAGGGACGTCAAGATTTTTACCCAAGTCCTGAAGAATGGGAAATCTGTGTTCCCCTAGCAAATAAGAGTTTCCAGTGTGAGATCACATTGTACAGGATTTATACAGAAAATCGGCAGACAGTGGGCAAGAAAGGGTGTTTAACCATCCCCATGCCTGTTGCTTCCTTTCCTGTAAATGTCCCTGTCTCAGGCCTTGTTTCAGAGCCTAGCTAGGGAATGGAAAGATTTAAAACAGCCAGGACGGAAAGTAATGGACAGTGGGAACATGGTGGTGGAAGAGTTAAATTCCCTCTCCCATCAGCTGCTTGTGTCTTTCAAATCTCCTTATTGCAAGGCAAATACAGAACTCAGAACCTTCTCAGCAGTGCAGCTAGTCTCCCAGCTCAGAGCAAAATTGCCTCCTTGGTGTCAACACCGTTTCACCCATTGCCAAATTGTGGGGACGGCTGGAGTGCAAATGCTGCTGAATGGTGCAAGCTCTAGTGCAAACATTAAGGGGGAAATTGATTTTTCCTCTCCACAGAAACGTCTGATACTTGTAAATGTAGAAAAGATGTGTGTGTGTGTGGGGAGTACCCTGAGTTGCCGTCTCCAGGTTGGGACATTCTTGGAGATTTGGTGGTGGAGCCTATTGGGTGTAGTAAATAAGAAGCTGGAGACCAACTGGTGATGAAGGTGCATAGAAAGTTTATATAGATATAATGGTGACTATATACACAGAGATATACAGGCTATCATACAGCATACCGTGCCTTAGTTTGAGCGACTAAGTCCCCACCAATTTATCAAGCTGATAGCTAATATACTAAACTCAGCCAATCACTAACAAGGTGAATTAATTACCTAACTCTAACAATGCCTGATAGAGAACACCTGCTATTATAACACCTGGCTGTAATCACTCAATCACTAGCATGACAACTAGGACTGTCAAACAGATCAAACTGATCTAGTAACTGCTTGCTACCTTTATCACCTAGACATATATCTCAATAGAGCCTGGGGAAAGCAGAACTTGGAGTGGGGAGTGACCTCATCAGGGTATAATGCCATGAGGTCTACCCTTCAAAGCAGCCATTTTCTTCAGGGGAGCTGATCTCTGTAGTCTGGTGAATCATTGGAATTCTGGGACATCTTCAGGCCTTACCAGGAGGCTGAAGAAACAACCCAGGATCACAGTTTCTTTTACAGAAAATACAAACAAACAGACAAACACTGTGATACGATGGCTAACGCATTTAGTAATACATTTTACAATCAATGTATAAATCTTATGTCACATTGTAGAGAAGTGTTTATTTATTAAATTAGACTTATCAGGCCACCCTTCCCTGTGAGCAGGGTTCAGGATAGCTGACATCAATACATCATGGCTTGGCGCTGGCCCACTCATTTCCCTACTGCAGGAACTGAAATTGAATATATTGCGCTGCCCACTTTGTTTTAAACTGGCTGTATTGTATTGATTTGATATTGTTATTTATGGTCGAACTGACTTATTTTAAGATCGTATTAAATTTATCGTTGTGAGCCGCCCTGAGCCTGAAATAATAAAGTCGGAATAAAATAATACGAGACTTAAAGCAGCATTAAAATTCAGCAACCACAGTAAGACAGTACAATCCAAGATGGAGATAAAATAAGTACATCCTTATAATATTACAAAAAGAAGTCCATCCTCATGATGTTATTAAGTTGAACTGATTACATGGACTTTACGTCTTATCTTCTAAGGAGGAAACATTGTATCTTATGCCTTATTAGAGTTATAGTATGCACTTAATTTTGTTGTTGTGACACCACCAACTTTATATTTGTTAAATACAGTTTCTATTTTGGCAATTTCTGATGGTGTTTCTCCTAGCGGAATTTGTATATCTGGAGCCAAATTCAGAAGGCTTTGGCATGTGTTTAGAGAAGAGGTTAAGGGCTGGCTTGCTCCCAGTCAGAGGTCATTTCGAGGGGGATTGCGGGGGATCGCAGTTCCCCCGGGTGAGGTACGGGGGGCGGGGCACATGACGAAGCCCCACTCCCTGCTTCC